GAACCAATATTAGCAGCTGTTGTCTACACAAAGAATGGAGAGAACTCTCCAGCATTCGCTGCAAGGAAAGACGGGAGAGAGGATTCAGAACATGAGGATCCCCTTCCTTCTTTGTGGGATCCGAGAAGACTTTCCTTCATTTTTCAATATAAAGAATGGAAAGAGTGGGGAGGATTCTCCTCGGTTTCTTCCAAGGATGCAGAAGACTCTTCTAGAACGGGGGAATGGGGAGGATTCTCCTGCATTCCTTCCAGAAAAAAAGTGGGAGAGAGCTGCGTGCTCCCATTCTCCCATCTTTACAGAGCAGCAATGGGGGAGATTGGGAGGACGCTCTGCTCCTTTGAAGACAGTGGCTTCTACAGAGAGGATCATTCAGAATTATACCAAAAAAAAGACAACGGTGTGAGGGAAGTCCTCATAAACACATGAGAGTTTTTATTCTTATGTAAAGAATGGAGAGTTAGGTTTCGCAGGAGAGTTGCACTTCGATTATGCAATGGGATTCATCGGGTGTGCAAAGAAGTTACATCTATGTGGAAACGAATTTTCTCATTTCAATACAGGCAATCCCACATTAAGTCTCACCACCATTCATGCAAATCTTCCACACAGACTATGAAATGTATATGGATGTCTCTTGGACCCATTGCTTTTATTGGATGCCCACCCATAAATACAGCAGCTCCCTTGCGAAACCTAGCTCTCCATCTATGACATGAGAGTGACTCCTCCCCACTTTGTCTTTAGAGTGCATGGAGAGCACCCCTGGAAGGAGCGGAGCAGGGTCCTCCCCAGTCTTCCTGCGTCTCCCCAAAGTTTCTTTGGCGGAGTGGAATGGAACCATTTCCAGTTGAAGAAGGGTCATCCCCATCTTATTTTTTGGATTCATGAACCTAAGAAGGTCATAGAACCACCCAAAATGCCGTAACAAAGGGGTCCCCACTCATTCTGTATCTCCACGAGTGTTGCTGTGGAAGGAATGGAACGGACACATCCCATTCCAAGGAGATTCATCCCCACTCCATCTCTGGAGAGACTGCAAGAAAATCATCACCACTCCATGTCTGAAGCTCAGGAGAGAAACCCCACTCAATGGAG